TGTTCGAATAAAGCTAGATGATTGAAAGGAGCGGATGGGGTGGGGGTTAGGGGTGGGGAAAGGGAGCGCGCCAGGCTGCGTGCGCTTGCGCGCTGGCGGCGGCGGCGTCAGTGCCCGGCGGGGAGCGGGTCCCAGGCCGCCGCCGGACCGGAGGCAAAGGGGGCTTCTGGGAGCTCCCTCGCCGGGCCCTTGTTGGCCTGATGGCGTAGGAAGGACGGGCTGTGAGTGTGAGTATGGAGGGCCCGGCCTGGTGGGGCGTATCGGAGGCCGAGGGTCGAATGGTCTGCCCCTTGAGCAAGTGGTGGGGCTGCGCCTGCACGCAAGCCACGCCACGGTGCCTCCTCCGATCCTCGTGGGTTTAGAGTTTACGGGCGAGCGCTGCACCTGGCTTCAGGGTACAGACCCACAGGGGCGGTCCGATTCTGCTCACAACCCCTCAGGCTGGACGCGTGGCTCCAGGTCTTTGACCTCTGGGACAGGCCCTGACCTTTGTTGGCCTGGGGTCTGGGAGGAATCTCAGCCTTAGTCTGGTGTTTAAAAGCTGCGGATTTCAGGCTAGAACCACCTTCCCGCCTTTCGAGACTGACATTCTCGCCTCTTGTTTCTGCTTTTGAGGTCTCTGCTTTGGGGAAGCTGTTCTAGCAACTAGTGGAACACTATGTGTCTATTTAATATTTAGTATAATCTCAGTGCGTAGTTATGGAGAGGAGATGCTTGCACCGCCTCCCACTTCCAGTCTGGTCAGTGTAGTAATCATCTTTGAGAGTAAAATAAGCCATCTTGTTGGGTGAAGTTCTAGATTTCGGTGTTTCTGGTTTTTTTAGCATCTTGGAACCAGATAAGGAAGTTCTTTTAGCAGATTAAAACTATAGCCATCATAATAGTTTATATTGAGGTGATTCAAGACACAGATACCTTTTAATACTAAGCAAGAGCCAGATGCTCTTCTAAAATCCCATGGGGGAATCTTAAAATGTAACTTTGTTTTCAAGTTTGGCTAGAAATGGAAGAGCAGATCATCAGACTCCACTAGGGTTTACTTAGCACCCACTATGCTGCACTCACTCCATCCAGGTGTGTCACAGAAAATTGACGCGGTATTATAATAGATTTTTAATTAACGCAGTATTATAATAGATTTTTTTTTGGCAGCACTTTTCAGGTTGCTGAGATACTGAATACTGATGATGATTTGTTTATGTGAGTGGATTACTGAACTTCCTCTGAGGTGATAGCAAAGCTCATCTTTTATGACAAGCACTGCTGTTTGGAAAGCGAACTGAAGTTAACTATTGAGTCTAGAAAACAGAGACAGAGTCTGGTTTATATAGCCCAGACTGGCCTTGAGCTTGAGAGCCTGAGTTTAATCGCAGAGTGCTTGGGTTACAGGTATGTGCCCCGCCTTAGCTTTTTGTTTTGTTTTGTTTTGTTGTGTTGTGTTGTTTTGAGACAGGATTTCTCCATGTAACAGTCCTGGCTCTTCTGGGACTGCTTGATAGGCCAGGCTGGCTTGGAACTCGCTAAAATCTGCTTGCCTCTGCCTCCGCCTCCCAGTGCTGGGATTAAGGGCGTGCACCACCCGGTTTAGTTTTTAACTAAAGAAAGTGTCGGTAGATTTTGAAGAGAGCTTCAGAACAGCTAAGAAAGGGGAAAGGTGTGAAGCAGTCTCATCAGACCAATTCAGAATTCAAATTGCTTTGAGAAAAGGAAGGTATTTTAATTTTTTTAATTTTCTTTTAATTAATTATTTATTTGTGTATTATATATACAGTATTCTGTCTGCACGCCAGAAAAGGGATCCTGATCGAATTACAGATGGTTGTGAGCCACCATATGGTTGCTGGGAATTGAACTCAGGACCTCTGGAAGAGTAGCCCATGCTCTTAACCTCTGAGCCATCTTTCCAGCCCCAAGGAAGGTATTTTAAAAAAGAAAAACTAGCCGAGCGGTGGTGGCACATGCCTTTAATCCCAGCACTCAGGAGGAAGAGGCAGATGGTTCTCTGTGAGTTCGAGGCCAGCCTGGTCTACAAGAGCTAGTTCCAGGACAGGCTCCAAAGCTACAGAGAAACCCTGTCTTGAAGAAAACAAAAAAAAAAAGAAAAACTATAGTAGTTAATGTACATCCAGATTAGAATGAACGCAGGGCGAGTCTGTGAGAAAAGCAAGGAACATTAAGTGGTTCTGAGTCCCAGGATGACTCAGTGAGAACTATTCAGACAAGGTCTAGTTTGGGTTACCAGAAGGGAAGTATTTGTGTGCCCACCGAAGAAGAGCCCTAAACAGACAGATTGCATGAGATTACTCTAGCTGCTCATCTGGGACGCAGAGTTAAAGCTTGCGGTCTGTTGCTATTGTAATCTGAAAGAGACTGTCAGAAAATCTGAGTTCCCAGGTGTGTATCAGAGGACCTGTTAAATTTGTGCGTTTGTTAGGACGAGGCAACTCTGCACAAATAATGATTTCCACTTTGTACAGTGCGAAAGTAATGGTATCAAGAAGGTGTACAATAGTGCCAATTTTAAGTGGATATACATGTACGCATATGTGTTGCATGTAAGGACAGAGTGTGGAAAATCAGAATCAATTGAAAGTGTAGAATGTCTGTCGGGATGGAAAACAGAAGTGAAAATCTATTGTCCAATGGCTCCAGAGTTTCAGTTTCACACTCTGGGGTTTTTTGCAAGCTAAACAAGCGGTCTTCTCCAGAGCTTCATCTTTCAGCCCTAAGCTTTTTCATGTTTTTTTTTTGTGACAAAAAGTTGTAAACAATCAGAAAAATAAAAACTCATTAGATTATTTTTTCTTAATTTTTTTTGAATTTTATTTTCTATGTATGAATGTTTAACCTGTATGTGTGCCAGTGTACCACATTTGTGCCCAGTGTCTGCAGAGGCCGGAAGAGGGCATCAGATCCTCTGGACCTGGGATTACAGATGGTTACTTTATGGGTGCTGGGAGTCAAACCCAGGTCTTTTGGAACAGCAGCTGGTGCTCTGAACTTAAAAACCATCTCTCCAGCCCCCTTTCACTTGGATTTTGAAGATGGCCTTATTTTATGTGTATGAGTGTTTTGCCTCTGTGTGTGAGTGTGCCTGTGTGTGGTGGAGGGGGGGCGGTTCTAGGTCTTGAAGCAATAAGATGAATACGTACAAGACAAGCACTCTCACTGAGCTACTTTTTCCTTTTCTTCCCTCCTTCTTTTGAGATGTGGGTGGGTCTCTGCCTTGCCCAGACTGGTCTTTGTTTTCATACTTTGCCTCTTAAGTAACTAGGGCTATAGTAGAGGACTATAGTAGCTTGCACCAGCAAACAGTATTTGACTCAATTTTTAAAGATTACGTGTTGTGTTTGGCTAATATGTATATTATCATTATTATTATTATTATTATTAACTATATATACAGTGTTCTGTCTGCATGTGTGCCTGTAGGCCAGAAGAGGGCACCAGATCTCATTACAGATGGTTGTGAGCCACCACATGGTTGCTGGGGACTGAACTCAGGACCGCTGGAAGAGCAGCTAGTGCTCTTAATGGCGGAGGCATCTCTCCAACCCTCAGGCTTGTTTGTTACAACAGAGCTTGTTACAACAAATTGGATACTGGAGTTCAGTGCTTTTTGGATTCGGGTTAAACATTTTGGTGATGATGTCTGCCTTTCTGTCTGTTGTAATTTTCTCACTGTTAGTGATACTGAGATTGACTAGGGTTTAGTGGTGAATTTAGCCTCCATGGTCGCCATTTTTGTTTGTTTTGTTTGTTTGGTTTTTTAATAGTTTTTAGCTTTGTAGCCATAGCTGACTTGAACTTAGTAGGTAGACTAATCTTGCCTCGAACATGCAGCAGTTCTGGCTCTGTGCAACATCACCTCCATTGTTAAATTGCCTGTCAGCTCTTTTGTGTCTTTAAAACTGTTATACACCTAGTATTTCCTATACAAAGTGTAATTGAGTATCTTCAGAAAGCCAAAGCTCATGGTAAGAAATTACTATTTTTAACCTTTTTACATGTACCGTGTGTTCACGCGGAGTGTGGGGCTCCATCCCCAGTCCACTATTCCATTTATCTATCTATCTATCTATCTATTTATTTATTTATTTTGGCAGGGTATCTCAGGCTGGCTTGAAATTTACTTTCTAGACCAAGCTGGTATTGAACTCACAGGGATCTACTTGCCTCTGCCTCACTCATTCTGGACCACTGTTCACTTTTTATAAAGAAATTGAAGTTTGAAATTAGCTTTACTTAAACCCATGCGGTGTTGTCTAATCGAGAGTCTCTGCCTCTTCCTGCCGTGCTCTGTGGTAGGAGACTGGGAAGTGAGTGTGGAGTTGTTACTCTAGTGTTGCTTGTGCTTTCCTTGTGCTATTTTTTTTCTTTTTGAGACAGTCTTACTGTGTAGCGCTGCTAGCCGCATGCCTCAGCCCCCCTGGTGCTGGGATTGCTAGTGTGTGTCACTGCCCGTTTTAGGATGATCATACATTTTAAACTTTTTAATTTTACTTACGTATGTATACATGTGTGCTGCAGTGCATGTGTGGAAGTCAGAGGACACCTGGCAGGAGTTGGTTCTTTTACTTCATGGTGTCCTGAGATTGAATTCAGGACATCAGACTTGGCAACAAGTGCCTTTACCCCCTGAACATTTCACCAGTCCAGCTGTGCTTGTTTAGCCCTGAAAGGTCATCAGAGATTGGTTACTATGGTATTTTGAAAAATCATATATACAGCAAGTGCTATTCCTGGTTTTTGTGGGGGTCTTTTGTTTTCTTTTGGTTTTTCAAGACAGGGTTTCTCTGTGTAGCTCTGGCTGTCCTGGAACTTGCTTTATAAACCCTGCTGGCCTTGAACGCACAGAGATTGTCTGCCTTTGCCTCCCAAGTTCTAGGATTAAAGGCATGCACACCATGCCTGACTTATTCACGGTTTTTTTTGGGGGGGGGGAGTTCAAGACGGTTTTTCTGTAGGTTTGGCGCCTGTCCTGAAACTAGTTCTTGTAGACCAGGCTGTCCTTGAACTCACAGAGATCCCCCTGCCTCTGCCTCCCCAGTACTGGGATTAAGACCTGCGCCACCATGACCCAGCTTATTCATGATATTTTTAATCAGTAATACAGTCAATATCAGTTTGTTTTTATAGTTGCTAAATCATAATTTCATGTTTTTTAATAAAGTTATGCTAAAGAATATATATTGAGGTACATATTTGATAGTAAATCACATTTATCTTTCTTTTATTTTAATTAGCACATTGTATTGATGTTTTAAATTTCATATGTGCAGTAGGAAGTTGTGGCTCATCATCTCTTTGAATGCTTAGTCACTTTTGATTGGAATAGGAGGTGTGTCCTTGTTGGAGGAAGTATGCCACGGGGGGGGGGGGGGGGGGCTTTGAAGTTTCCTTAGCACCACACCTGCCTGCTGCCGCAGCCCCTGCTATGATAACAGACAGCCCCGGAAGCTGTGAGCAGGCCTCTAGTTAAAGACTTTTTTTCAGAGTTTCCTTGGTCATGGTCTTCATAGCAGTAGAACAGTGACTAAGGCAGAAGTATGGTTTGCATTTCATGCTAGGAAGGATGAGGTGGGCTGGGAGATAGTTACAATAGAAAGTGGGTGACGGGCACCTGTTCAGTGTTTAGGGTGGAGTTTTGGGCCTGCTGACCCAGGTAAGCCCTTTACTGCTGAGCTGCTTCCTCAGCCCACATTGTTTTGTTTTTGCAGTGTTAGAAATCAAAACCAGAATTCGGTGCATAGTAGGCACTTCACCACTAAGTTGTATTCAAAAATACCTTTTTCTGATCCAAATAACGTCATTCATAGAGTAGAGGAGAAGACAAAGAGCTATGTTCATCCATAGTAGCTGAGCAACCAGAGGAAAAATAGGCAAAGGGTCTAAAGGAGGTAAAAGGCAATTTCCCAATTATATCTGTCAAAGCTGCAACATCTTCATGTAAAATACAAATGTTGGAGGCTTTTAAAAAAAATACTTATTTTAGAGTTGAACTCAGGTCCTTTGGAAGAGGAGTTAGTGCTTAATTTTAACTGAGCCATCTCTTCAGCCCTGGAAGCTTTTTTTTTTTTTACAAAATATTATGTATTGTACAAATACATATTATGTATATTTATTTGAGTGTGGACAGGTGCTTGTTAGTACAGTAGGTGCCTGTGGGAGCCAGGAGTTGTTGGATCCCCGTGGAACTGAAGTTGCAGGTGATTGTGAGGTGCTTGACATGGGTGCAAGGATTGAACTTGGGTCCTCTGCGAGTGCTCGTAACCACTGAGCCATCTCTCCAGATGAGAGCTTCTGTCCCTTTGTGTCCTTCCTCCACTCCAAGGCATTTTGAAACAATTCCCCCCTCTCCCCCGACTTAGGTTAGGTTAGACCTTAGTCTACATGGATCAGGAAAATACTGTAAATTTTCCACTGGCTCCTGTGGCCCCCAGGATGTGTCATAACAAATATTGACCAGGGATTAGGGAGCCAGGTGTGGTGGCACTTGTCTGTGCTCCCAGGCAGGGGCAGGAGGACTGGAGTTTCAGGCCAGCTTGGGCTATGTAGTGAGAGACCCTATCTTAAAAAAGAAAATACAAATACACAAAAACTACCCATAGTTTGTGCACTATCAAAGCCCCTTTTGGGAAATTGTTCGTCTTTGGAGATATAGCTTGGTGGCAGAGCAGGTACCCTGGCATTTGTATGACACTGGGTACCGTAACTAGTTCTGATAAACAAAAGTCTAAAGCCAAGTGTGGTGGTATACTTGTAATCCCAGCATTTGGGAGGTGGCGGCAGGAGGATCAGGAGGGCAAGATCATCTGCATAAGAGCTCTCAGCCAGCCTGGCTACCTGAGACCCTCTCTTTTAAAAAGTTTGCTGATCAGATTCCAACCTGAGGTTCAAACCTGGGTGCTGAGATCCACAGCAGGCCCCATTTCCACTCCTGTCCCAAGTGGTGCTACATGTTAGCAGCATCAAAATACTTAAAGTTACGTTAAGTTAAAGTTAAAGATTTTAGTGTTCTTTTTTGCAGAAAGGGTATTCATGTCTGAGAGCTCACTCGTGGGTGGTGTGCATACAGCACGTGGAGGTCTTTAGACTCCTCCATGTTGGTCTTACCTTTCTGGCCTGCTCTGTCCTGCCTCTTCCTCCTGTTTCCCTGTAGGGGCACCCTGTGTACTAAAGTATCATTTTTTTATTTATTTTTTTTTATTAAGACCCACTCTATAAAATGAGGCCCTCCCAAAAGTGTCAGCCAGCTCAAGCAACCAAGGGATAGAGGCAAAAGTTGTTCTGTGGCTTCCCGATTGTTCTGTCTTACCAGAACTCCATTAATTTCTGTCAGGGTTAAGGTGAAGACTAAGGAAATTGCCCGTAGGATTCAAGAAAGGGATTTTAACCTAATTACTACTCCTTATCTTGCCCCCCCACACACTAAGTTAAATTAGTGTTTTACAGCAAATTGTCACTTGGAGTCTGTGTTCACTTATAAAAGTTTCTTCAGTTCTATTGAGTTTATTCTGAATATTAAGAGATACGGTCTATGAAGATCTCCCTTTTGTGTGGTTAGCAAAGTCAGACCTATCATCCAACAGCCTGAGTTAACTTCTTGGACTGTCTTAATAATATTGGGTGGCAGTGTTTTCAACTTGAGCCACGTGATAAATATTTGGGGGATATTCATTTTTTTTCCCTTTTTGTTTGTTTGTTTTTGAGATAGGGTTTCTCTGTTTAACAGCCCTAACTGTCCTGGAACTAGCTCTCGTAGCCCAGGCTGGTCTCAAACTCACAGTGATCCCCCTGCTTCTGCCGCCACCACCCAGCATCTGGGAGATCTTGTGATGTTGATGTTTGAAGTGGATGCCAGTGTTAGGTAGCTTAAGCTGGCCTTGAACTTGACCTAAGGGATGTACAGGTAGGTATCACAATGCCTGGTTCTGGAATCTCTGAAGTATCTCAGAGTAGTTCTTGTAGGAGGTTTTCAAGACAGGGTTTCTCTGTGTAGCTCTGACTGTCCTGGAACTCACTCTGTAGACCAGGCAGGCCTTGAACTCACAGAGATCCACCTGCCTCTCTCTGCCTCCCAAGTGCTGAGATTAAAGGTGTGCACCACTACCACCTGGCTTCTTAGCCTAGTTCTATTTTTTGTGCAGATAGCTACCTCTTTTTTATTAATAAACTATATGGATGATTCCAAGGGGCTTGCTTGTCAAGAACTGAGTGCAGGAGTGAAGGCAGGAAATGAAATCAGTGTGTTAGGTAAGAGGAGAAACAGATTGGTAGGCATGACAAGGAGTTTCTAAATTTTCTGTGAAATGGGAAACCACAGGAAATAATCTAGGCAAAGAAATAACATAACCGGAGTTTTATTTTTTGTTTATTTGAGATATGTCTGAGTGTGTGGCCTTGGCTGACCTGGAAGTCACCTGCCTCTGCTTACAAGTGTTGGGATTAAAGGTGTGTTGCACCATGCCTGGCATAACTTAAATTTTAAATTATCCCATTCTGAGACACTTAGAGAGTGAGAGTGGAAGTGGGGACTTATACCCCGAGGCGACACTGTGGTCCATGTAATTGCCTCATCAGTGAGATGTTGAATGTGTTTCGGTAGGACTGACAGCATCTGCCAGCTGGGCTCTGAAAGGAGTCAGGGGTGACACTTAAAGTTTGCTTGTTTGGTCAGTTATTTTGTTGTTGTTGTTGCTTTTGTGTGTTTGTTTTTCGAGGCAGAGTTTCTCTGTAGCTTTGGGACCTGTCCTAAACCAGGCTGGCCTCAAACTCACAGTGATCCACTTGTCTCTGCCTCTCAAGTGCTGGGATTAGAGGCTTGTGCCACCACCCTTTGTTTTTCTGTTTGGTTGGTTGGTTGGTTAGTTTGCAAGGGTTGGTTTTGTTTTGTTTTGTTTTGTTTTGTTTTAGTTTTTTGAGACAGGTTTTCTCTGTGTATCCTTGGCTATCCGGAACTCACTATGTAGACCAGGCTGACCTTGAATTCACAGAGATCTGCCTGCTTCTGCCTCCTGAGTGCTGAAATTAAAGGCGTGTGCCACCACCTTCATCTGTTTGTTTTCAAACTTTGGTAGATGGAAAGCTAGAATTTATGTTTATTGAGATTGAAAGATTGAGAGAGTGGCAGAGTAAAAAGTGAATTAAAGATGATATCTAGAAAGGTTACTAAATGTTTCTTCCTCGATACAGGTTGACGTTGAGTGCTTCAGATCTGGTCACTATGGTCCGAGAACGAAAATGCATATTGTGCCACATTGTGTACGGCTCAAAAAAGGTAATGATGAAGAAAGAGCACCTGGTGCTTTGTGGAAACTTTGTTTTTGAAGACATCTTAAAAATAGTTAGAACTTGATATTTAGAAATTTAAGTTGTTACAATTTTATTGTTTGTTTTGCTGTGCAATCCTAGAACTGCTATGTCCTCTGACCTCAAATGGTAGTGATCCACCTGCTTCTGTCTCCCAAAGTTTGGGAATGTCGTCACACTGCTTATGCAGTACTGGAGAACATCTGTGGTGGTCTCTGTGTGTTAGGGAAGCATTCTACCAGCTCATCTGTAGTCCATTCCAGGAGGATTATTTTTGTGTATTAACCTCTACTCAGAATTTAGGGTTCTCAAGGGTAAATGGTATAGAGAACTTTAGCAATTAGTTAAAGAGGAAATATCTTAAAATTCAAGGTACTTGAGATTTTATTACTTTGTGAAATTTTACTTTGTTGTCTACCCCAGGGACTTTAAGTGTACTAGGCAAACACTCTACCTTGTGAGTTATATCCTCAGTCTATAAATCATATACCTTTTGGTTCACAGATGTTTAACAATTAGTACATTTATTATATACATTTTTTTTTGTATATCCAGGCTCAAGAAAAGTATAGTGCAGCCAGGTGTATTAATGCACACTTCTAATTCCAGTACTTGGGAGAAGAAGCAGGAGGCCATAGTTATACTATGTAGACCAGGTATAGTATAGCAAAGGTGGTGTTAACAGTATCCTGAATGTCCACAAGGTGAAACAAACCACAAAAAGGGGGGGAACACCCAAACATCCGAGGAGGAGGGCTGTGTGCATGTGTACAAGTGCAGACCAGGCTGAGCTTTTTTCTGTGGGTGCCAGGGATCCAAACTCAGATTTCATACTTGGGCAATAAGTGTTCTTATCTGAGACATCTCCCTAGTTCCCAAAAAACAAGCTTTCTTTGTTTTGTTTTGCTTTAATATTTATTTAACTTTATATGTGCATTTTGTATGAAGGTATCAGATCTCCTAGACCTGGAGTTACAGACAGTTGTGAGCTACCATGAGGGTGCTAGGAATTGAACCCTGATCTTCTGGGAGAGTAGCTGGTGCCCTTAACCACTGAGCCATCTCTCTAGCCTTGTTTTTTATTTTTTAAACATTATTTTTAGATTTATTTATTTTCTATGTATGAATATTTTACCTGCATGTATGTATATGCACCATGTGCATGTCTAGTACCTGAAGGGTCAGAAGAAGATGTTGAATCCTCTGCACTGGAGTTATAGGCAGTTGTGAGCTGCCATATGGGTGCTTGGAACTGAATCTGGGTCTTCTGGAAGAGCAGCCAGAGATCTGCTAAGCCATCTCACAAGCCCCACAACAAACTTTTTAAACTAAAAGAATTTGCTTATGCTTCATGGAAATTGGTTACTATTTCTCACTTTTGTTTGTTTTGTTTTGTTTTGTTTTTTGGGTTTTTTTTTTTGTTTGTTTTTTTTTTGCCTTTTCTGTTGTTGGGAGGCCGCTAGTTAGTTCCTGGCCGATTAGCCTTGAAATAATGACACAGAAACTGTATTAACTAAATCACTGCTTGGCCCATTAGCTCTAGCTTCTTATTGGCTAACTCTTACATATTAATTTAGCCCATTTCTATTAATCTGTGTATCATCATGCGACTGTGGCTTACCGGCCAAAGTTCCAGTGTCTGTCTCCAGTGTGACTTCATGACTTCTCTTCAGCTCTCTCCTTCTTTTTCCCAGCATTCAGCTTAGTCTTCCCCATCAGCTCAGTTCTATCCTTTCACAGGCTCAAGACAGTTTCTTTATTCATTAACCAATGTTATTCACAGCATACAGAGAGGAATTCACAGCATACATCATCTTTCCTTTATTCTTTGCTTTGAAAGTTATAGTGTTTGCTTCAGGTTTTTTGTTCATTTTTTTGTTTTAGGTTTTCTTCATTCTTTTTTTTTTAATTTTTTTTAAATATCTATTTATTTATTTATTATGTATACAATATTCTGTCTGTGTGTATGCCTGAAGGCCAGAAGAGGGCACCAGACCCCATTACAGATGGTTGTGAGCCACCATGTGGTTGCTGGGAATTGAACTCAGGACCTTTGGAAGAGCAGGCAATGCTCTTAACCTCTGAGCCATCTCTCCAGCTCCGGTTTTCTTCATTCTTAAAACTGATTGTTATTATTATTTTGGTTTTTGGAGGCAGGGTTTCTTTGTGTAGCTTTGGAGCCTGTCCTGGCACTTGCTCTATAGACCAAGCTGGCCTCGAACTCACATAGATCTGCCTGCCTCTGCCTCCCAAGTGCTGGGATTAAAGGCATGTACCACCGCTGCCTAGCTTTTTCTTTTTCTTCTTTTTTTTTTCTTTCTTGAACATTTAACTATATAATTAACTGACTTGTGGAACTTACTATGTAGATCAGGCTAGTCTCAAACTTTCAGGGATCCTTCCTGCTTAGTACTGAGATTATAAAGTGTCAACTTGACTGGTTATTGATGGAGTTTTAAATTCTATGTGCTGTCTTTAACTTGATTCGGTTTTCAGGTGTGTTTTGTTCTAATTGATGATCACTTACAGCTAGAAAGAGTCACTTATACAGCTCTGTCAAAACGAAGCTTTGTAGAGACAGGAAGGAAACAATCCAGTAAAATCACCATTTAAAGGAAGTGTTTTAAAACAGCTGTCCCCTGTATCACACTATAGAAGATAAAGAAGAGTGTACTGTGGCTTGATTACACGGTTTCTGACAAACTGTATATGATGAAGAAATGCATTATGTACTTGGAGCATGATGTTTGGTGTCAGATCTTCTTGGGTTTTCGTTTCACCCCTTGGTTTTCACATTTACTTCTTCAGTGCCTTGCTCTATGTGTAGGGCATAGTAAGCACTTGGGGAATACCTGGTGAATAAAGGAGTTCACTTCTCTGCATCCTTGAGTCCTTATGGAGTGGTATTTTGTGGTTTAAGTGGGAAAGTGTTTGAGTCAACACGGAATATAGCATAATCAGTTGAGTTGTAGCTGTTTATTAACTGTATAAGCAGACGTTCTCTAATTATACATGAAATGTTTGCAGCCCTCTAAGTTGCATGTATGTGCTTTTTCTCTGGGTCTTGCTGTGTAGCTGTTTTTGAACTTGCTATCCTGTCTCCTGAGTGCTGAGATTGTAGATGTATGCCACTATGCCCAACTGTGTGCATGTGTTTTAGTGATAGTTTCTGCACAGATAATTTTCTTCTACCAAAGGTAAAATGAGAGTTAGAACATTGCAAAGCTTTAATCTTTCCTTTAAACCCAAATAAACTAAGTAGGGAAGTTGTAGAATCAGAGAAGAGTGGGTGAATTCGCTGTGTTCATAGTCTTGGTCTCACTTGTCCCAGCCTGGCTTTGGTTATAACCAAGGCTGTCTGAACTCCAGATCCACCTGCCTTGACTGCTTGAGTCCAAGTGTGCACCATTGTGCCCATCTGTATTCAAAGTATGGAGGGTTTTTTGTTGTTTTTTAAAGACTAATTATTTTATTTTATGTCTATTGGTGTTTTTCCTGAATATACGTTGTGTGGTGAATGTGTGCCTATTGCCTGCTAAGGCCAGAAGGTGGAACCAGATCGTCTGGAACTGAAACTGTAGAGAGTTGTAAGCTCCCTTGTAGGTTCTGGAACCTGGGTTCTCTGTAAGAGCAACAAGTGCTATTAACTGTTGAGCCATGTCCATAGCCCCTCAAAGTGTGTGGTTTTCTGATGGAGGAGGGTTATCTGTCTATTGTGTTATTTTCATTGGTCAATAAAGAGACTGCCTTGGGCCCTTGATAGGACAGAAAATTAGGTAGGCGGAGTAAACAGAACAAAATGCTGGGAAGAGGGCTATGAGCCAGACGCCATGGAGCCAGCCACCAGGTCAAACATGCTAAATCTTTTCCGGTAAGCCACCACCTCGTGGTGCTACAGATTATTAGAAATGGGTTAATATCAAGATATGAGAGTTAGTCAGTAACTAACTCTCTAAGAGATAATGGGCCAGGCAGTGCTTAAATGAATATAACTTGTGTGTTATTATTTCTGGGACTAAGCTAGCCGTGCGGGAGCCAGGTGAGGAGAAAAGCAGGCCTGCCCCGCAGCTCCATTTCTACAGTTTTCGGGGGGATAAAAACTACATAGAGATCCTCTACTTGTTTACTTTTTAAATTTTTTTATTTTTTTATTTTTTATATTAGTGTTTGCCCTGAAGGTGTATCTGCGCACCGTGTGCATGCAGTCCCTGAGGATGCCAAAAGATGGCACCAAATCCTTCAGATGGTTGTGAGCTGCCCTGTGGGTGTTGGCTAAAACTTCAGCTCCAAGAAAGAGGCTCTTTTTTTTTTTTAATACCTATCTATAATCAACAAATGTGGGTTTTTTGTTTTTGGTTTTTCATTCCTTTATGTAACAACTCTAGCTGTCCTGGACTCTCTTTGGAGATCAGGTTAGCCTCGAACTTGGAGATCATCCTGCCTCTGCCTCCCAAGTGCTGGGATAAAAGGCGCCACTTTAATCCCAGCACTTGAGTGGCAGAGGCAGGTAAATCTCTGTGAGTTCAAGGCCAGCCTGGTCTACAGAGCGAATTCCAGGACAGACTCCAAAGCTGTGCAGAGAAATTCTGTCTCAGAAAACTGGGCGGGGTGTGAGGGACATGACGCATTACATGCAATACCAACACCAGCCTCAGTAAATGTTTATTAACAACTTATACACTAGACTCTGCCAAACCTTAAATAAGAGTTGTAACCTAGGGACTGAAGAGGTGGCCCAGTCAATAAAGTGCTTCTCGTGCTAGCCCGAGGGCCTGAATCTGGATCCCTAACATACAGAAAGCCAGTGGCAACAGCATCCATTCACAATCCCAGCACAGAGACTGGCCAGCAGCTTAGCTGAACTAGTAAGCTTCAAGTTTATTGAGAGACCTCGTCTCTCAATAAGGTGAAGGGCCTGAAGAGATGGTTAAGAGTACATACTACTCTTGCAGAGGACCTGAGTTTGGCTCCAGGCACCCATGTTGGGCACCTTAACTCCAGCTCTAGGGGATGGATCCTCTAGCCTAGATAGGCACCTGCATTCACTGCATGAACACTCGTAGACACACACACGCTTTAAAAAATGAAAGATGGGGTAGAAAGCAGTCAAGAAAGATGTCAAACATTGACCTTTGACCTCTATAATCTCACACAGATGTGCATGTGTTGTATGCACACCAGCATGAACATGTACATATACTACATATACATAAAGTCGCCAAAGTAGTTTTAAAAGCTAAGTGATTAGAAAGACTTTAAAAAACATTTTATGTGTATGTGAGTCCATGTGTATGCCTGCATGTGCATGTTTGTGCACTCATATACCATTGTGTGCATGTGAAGATATGTTTTCTCCTTTCACCGTGTGGCCTCCGAGGATCAAACTCAGGTCATCGGGCTCAGCAGCCAGTGTCCTAACCTGCAGAGCCATCATCTTGCTGGGTCCTTGGGTTCATCTGTGTAGTCCTGGGTGAACTAGAACTCCCTCTGTAGATTAGATTGGCCTCAGACTTGCTTCCCGAGTGCTGGGAGAGATCCCAGCATGAGCAGCACACCTGACTGCTCTCTCCCCACAAACTCTGTATGTAACCTGCATAATTTGTTCTTAGTCTTTTCCCTTCAAAGGCCGATGCTTCTAATCATTTTGGAAAACCATTTAAAATACCTAAAAATGACTTTTTAAAATGGTAGCCAGCTATGGTGATGTGTGTCTATAATCCTAACACTGGAGATGGAGGTAAAAGAGTAAGGAATTCAAGGTCATTCTCAACTACTAATGAGTTCAGGGCCTGTCTGGGCTGAAACCCTACCCCACAAAATAAAAATAAGCATGAAATATAGCCTAAGAATTATTTATTGTGGAATCTCTATTGATTTTAATTTGAGAGGGGTGATTACAAATTTTTTGGCCCAAAGAGTTTGAATCCAGATTGTTAATTGCATATCTACAGGGGAAGTCCACCCACCCCACCCTGGCGTCCCCTTGGTTAATCTGCTTTTTTGTTGTGTTTTGTTTGGAAGGAAATGGACGAACACATGCGGAGCATGTTGCATCACAGGGAACTTGAGAACCTGAAGGGCAGGTAATAAGAACAGCTTTCTTCCATAAATTTGCTAATGTGGGGCCTAAGTGCTGATGGTGCCTACCTGCTTATTTTGCAATAACCCATCATGATGACTATTGTCTGATAACATTGAGTCATTTATAATTAATGATAGTAGATTTTTGGCATTTAAAAGATAAACCCTGGTTCCTTTGTGCATCTTCTGTGCATGGGTAGAATTCATAGTAACTCAGACAAGTAGATTTAACAAGGTTGAGCTGACATGTACTGGCCTTCTTACTCACAAACTAATTCCTGCATAGTGGCCTTGCAGCTAGTACTTTCTATATTTTTGCTTTAGCCAAATTAATTGTATGCTGTAAACCCCTAGTCTTGCTGAAATAGCTTAGGAAATTCACAACCTGCTAAGTTATGCTGAAGCTTATCAGTGTCTGCAAAACCAAATAAAAGACAGAAAATGTTCTGTTAATGATTTAAAGCTTAAGATGTTTTTAAAAAATCTATGTATGTGTGTTCCTTATCCTTTTTTCTGTGTGTCTTCTTGACTAATGTGGATTAGAAGTACAGAGATTTGATAAAGATAACATTGTAAATCCAGAAATATGAATTATATTCTACTCCATGAATAATAAAGTTTCTGTGACAATGCTATCTCACTGTTTGATATTAGTGTTAACTTTATTGTAAATCCTTTTTTGTTGTTGGTTTGGTTTGGTTTTGGTTTGTTTTTGTTTTCCGAGACAGGGTTTCTCTGTATACCCCCGGTTGTCCTGGGAACTAGCTCTTAGAGACCAGGTTGGTCTCAAACTCACAGAGATCCACCTGCCTCTGCCTCCCGAGTGCTGGGATTAAAGGCATGCACTACCACCACCAGGCCTTTTATTGTAAATCTTACAGGTTTATCTTGTATCTATAAATTAATGTGCTATTATTAGTTAGCTAATGATATGCTAACTACTAATAATTTCTTCTATGCCTGGGTCTTTAATGTGTAATGGTTATGCTTAGTGGCAACAAAAAAAGGCTTCACTTAGACAAATATGATGTGTGTTTCCTTCTACATGGATCTTAGCTGTTAGGTATTTGGTAAGCAGACTACATCTGTAGAGCACAGAGGTCAGACATAGAGTAAGGGACTGGGTGGTGCAGCTGAATCTCCTAGATGGCTGTGCATAGGCAGGAGGGGGGCAGTAGTAATAGAAGGATCAAGTGGAGGGGGGGAGGAAAAACAGGAGTGAGAGAGGGAAAACGGGGACAGCTAGAACTAAGGACCACTTGAGGAGTCACATAGAAACATCCTAAAATATATACTTAGATGAAGACAATCTAAAGTATGTGGTTAGTTAGGAGAAAGTTCTATGAGGTGCTGAGAAGAGGATATGTTCTTTTGTGTTTGTGTGAAATGTTCTGTATATGTCTGTTAGGTCATTTGGTTTATGATGTTATTTAGCTACATTTCTCTGGTTTCCGCCAAAACTGCCCTTTCCATAGGTCCCTAATTTGATTACTGTTGTCCACTATAATTTTCTCCTTCATTATAACCATCATATCCTCCTCCACTACTACCATATTCACCACCTTGGTTTCCATAGCCTGGTCCACCACTACCATAGCCTCCTCTACTGCTGTAACCAGGACCACCACCATAGTTACCACCATCACCTCCAAATCCATTATATCTACCATAACTACCTCTGCTGCCACCACCTCCACTACCAAAGTTTCCACCGTGACCAAAATTACCTCCACCAACCTCCAAAGTTCTGGTCTCAGAATGGAGGGCCATGATCCAAAGGAACCAGAACAGTTGAGGAAACTGTTCATTGGTGGTCTGAGCTTTGAAACCTCAAATGATAGCTTAAGAGAACGTTGTGAGAAATGGGGCACACTTACAGACTGTATGGTAATGAGAGATCCCCAAACAAAACATTCCAGGGGCTTTGGTTTTGTGATCTACTCTTGTGTTGAAAAGGCGGATGCTGCAGTGTGTGCTCAGCCACACAAAGTTGATGGGTGTGTGGGGGAACCAAAGAGATCGGTTTTTAGAGAGGATTCTGTAAAGCCTGGTGCCCATTTAACGGTGAAGAAAATCTTTGTTGGTGGTATTAAAGAGGACACAGAAGAGTATTTGAGAGACTACTTTGAAAAGTATGGCAAGATTGAAGCCATAGAAGTTATGGAAGCCAGGCAGAGTGGGGAAAAGAGAGGATTTGCTTTTGTAACTAGTGTTGATCATGAAATTGTTGTTCAGAAAACCACACTGCTAATGGGCATGATTGTGAAATGAAAAGGGCCCTTCTAAACAAGAGATGCAATCTGCTGGCTCACAGAGAGGTGGTAGAGGTAGATCTGACTAGATTAGTATTCTTTTATGACCTTGGGTACCATTGTGTTTGGTGCACAGATGTTTAGAATTGCAGTGTCCTCTTCGTGGATTTTCCTTTGAGTATGTAGTGTCTTTCCCTATTTCTTCTGATTAGCCTTGTCGAACAGTAGAATGGCTACACCAATTTGCTTTTGAGTCAATTTGCTTGGAATATCATTTTCCTTTTACCCTGGGATGATAATCTATCTTTGATGTTAAAGTGTGTTTCTTGAATGCAGCAGCAGGATCTTGTTTTTTAATCCAGTCTGTTAGTCTCTTATCTTTTTATTGTTGAATTGAAAACACTGATGTTGATTCCATTATTTTGCTGTTGTAGTGGGAGTTTTCATCCCCTCCCCTTTATCTGCTAGTCTGATAGTATTCCTTGTGTTTTCTTTATGTGGTTAACCTCTTTAGGTTGAAGTATTCTGTCTAGTTCCTTCTGTAGAGCTGGATTTGTAGATAGACACTGCTTAAATTTGGTTTTATAGTTGAATGCCTTTCTTCAGCTATTGTGATTGAAAGTACTTAAGATGGGTGGTGTGTAGAACATGTGTCCAGGCCCCTCTGACTTTTAGAATCTCCATTTAGAAATCAGATGTTATTCTAATAGGTCTGCCTTAATATATGATTTGTTCTTTTTCCCTTGCAGCTTTTAATATTCTTTCTTCATTCTATACCTTCTATATTATGATTATTAAGTGTTGTGGGAATTTCTTTTTAATCTAATCTATTTGGTGTTCTGTATGCTTCTTGTACCTTGACAGACACCATCTCATTTAGGTTGGGGAAATTTTCTTCTGCTATTTTGTGGAATTTATTTGTTTGTTTGTTTTTATTTTTTGAGACAGGGTTTCTCTGTAGCTTTGGAGCCTGTCCTGGAACTAGCTCTTGTAGACCATGCTGGCCTTGAACTCACAGATATCTGCCTGCCTCTGCCTCCGAGTGCTGGGATTAAATGCATGCACCACCACCTCCTGGCTTGGAAAATATTTTTCTCTGAGCTTTTGACCTGGGTTTCTTTCTGCCAAGTTTTTTGGGAGGGAGTTTGCTTGTTTCTTTTGTTTTTTAAGGCAGTTTCTCTGTGTCACAGCTGTTCTGCAACTAGCTTTGTAGACCAGGCTGGCCTCAAACTCACAGAGATCTGCCTGACTCTTCCTTCTGAGTGCTGGGATTAGAGTATGCCACCACCTCCCGGCTCTTCCCTGTATTCTTATTATTTGTAGATTTGGGTTTTTTTTTTCATATTATTCCAGATTTTCTGGAGGCTTTGTGCCTGGATTTCCATCTTTTTCTCAATGCCCGAGATTCTCTAGTCCATCTCTTATATTCTGTTGGTGAAGCTTGCCTCAGAAGTTCCCTCCTGTAATGGTCTGTCTGGTCCCTTTGAGAGACAAGCCCTGCCCACTTCCCTGTCTGCTGAGGCAAGCAGATCTTCCTTCTACTTCCAGCCTTTTCTTTCGGTCTCTCTCCCGAAGAGGCAGCTTCTGACTCTCTCCCTTCTCCTCACTTCTCCCTTTTCCCCCTCCTCTCTCTCTATCTCTCTCTCTGTTTCTCTCTCTGCCTCTCCGCTCTTTTCCCTTCTCCCCTTTCCCTTTCCCCTCCATAACCCACTAAATAAATACCCACGTTCTCTGCATGGTGTGCCTAATAGGTCTTTGTCTCTCACCTGCCCACGCAGCTCCCTGCCTAGCCCTGCTGCCTTTGTGGCCCTCTGTGGTCTCGTGCTGGCTGCCTACTGCTGCCACTTGGAACCTGTGACATTTTATTTTTACCATAACACCTAGACTTTCATTTCTAGTTTTCCCTCAGATTGCATTTTCTTTAAGACTCCCTTTCTTATCTTGAGCTGTTTTCTCCACTTCATTCCACTGTTTGTGTTTTCATTAATGGATTTGTTCATTTCCTCTTTAAGGATCTTGAAAATATTCGTAATAGGTATTTTGAAGTCTTTGTCTTGTGCTTAAGCTGTATCACATTACTCAGGGCCTAATGTGGTAGGGTTTCTGGGCTCTAGTAGAGGGAAACCTTGTCCTGGCTGTTGCTGTGTTTTTATCCTGGTATCTAGGCATCTGGGTTTGGAATGACTGTAACTCTAGGTGCTGATATCTGCACTTGACTTTGTTGGGTGTGTAGAATTCTTTCCTTGTTTCTGTTGCCTTCTCTGGTTCTTAGGAGAGTGCGGTGGCTGGGGGTTGCCTGGTAGGAAATGCCTTAGTTTACCAGGTGTGCTGGCTGGGGTTCCAGGGTAGAACGTGTTTCTGGGTACTGGAAGTTGACACTAAGGAATGTGGATGGGCTAGTGGCAGGGAAGTTGCTCCACAGGAGGAGAGCTGGGTATACCACCAGAGTCTTTGTAGACTCCTGGGAATGAAGGAGAGGCCGCGGAAGAGGAGGGGGGCAGTCTGCTAGGAATTGAGATGGGGCGGTTAGAGTGGGAGGACAGGAGGACTCCAGGGAGTGCGCTAGCCAGTGTTCCTAACAATTGAGCCATCACTCCAGCCCTAGAAAATTACTATTTTTAAAGGTTTATTTTTATTATTTTCAAGTGTTTGTGTACATCTGCATGTGAGTGTGTACGCATGAGTGCACATGTCTGTCGTGGCCAGAGATGTTGAATCTCTCTGAAGTTGGAGTGCCTGACGTGGATATTGGTCCTCTGAAAGTTTAGTAAACTCTCTTAACTGCTGAGCTAGCTCTTCAGCTTCCCCTAAAACTTATTTTTAAAAACAAATTTTATAAGATTCAGATGATATTGAATATAGGATCATAGAAAATAAGTCTAGTGGGCCATGTGTAGTGGCACATGCCTTTAGTCCCAGCACTCAGGAGGTAGATACATAAGGATCTCTGAGTTCGAGGACTCCTTAATCTACATAGGGAGCTCCAGGACAGCCAAGACTACATAGATAAACCTTGTCTCAAAGAGGAAAGAGAGAGAGGGAGGGAGAATATTTACCTTATTTCTCTTTAATAAAATCCCATTCCATCTTGCTGTCTGTCCTACCCAAACTTTATATGCATTCACAGTTTTAGATCTATACACAGGCTTCATTCTGTCTTGAGTGACTGGACCTCATGTGGATTATATGTTGCTTTGTGATTTCTTTTTCTCTTGTAAATGCTATCTTGAGCACCCTAACTCATTTTATTGAGAGGGGAACACAGTCGTACAGGTTTCCACATTTGTTAGGTGCAGCCATGACAGGTGGCTAGCCTATAACATGTAAAAAGCATGCAAAACCCACATAAAGTCTCAAAAACTATGTATTGACTTAGTGCATTATTTTAATGACAGTCATAACTGATTTGTGCCTTAGAGACAAATAGTCATCAACCCTTACTTCTTTTCCCTCTTAGCCTCAATATATGACTTTCTTCTGAATTTCATGCTCAGTTACTGTGCTTCCAGCTGAACTTTACTCTCCAGTGATGATCTTGTAAAGAATTATAAGATACTTTATTAAGTTTTTATATTCAGTTTTGAAGGCAAGCTTGACCATCTTGGTCAGTTTTCCTTGGTTTCTAATTAGGGACAAGGGTAGGTGTGATATAAGTAGTTTCTCCAGATAGAAGCTACCGAAGACTCAAGTCTTTATTTATCAAGCAGCTGTTGTGGTTTAGTTAGAGCAAGCTTAATAAAGAAAGGCTTATGTGTAGAGTATCTTAAGACTGCCTTTTGTACATGAGAGGAAGTTGTGTGGTGACAGGATGAAGCTAATTTGGGCGCTTCAAACACCCCGAGGGAGAACATTGCCTTTGTTAGCTATGACACAAAAACACTGACTACATTTTGTCCATAATTACATGTTTATGCAAAGGTTTTTGTTTTGTTTGTTTTTGTTTTTCAAGACAGGGTTTCTCTATAGCTTTGAAGCCTGTTCTAGAACTCACTCTATAGACCAGGCTGGCCTTGAACTCAGAGATCTGCCTGTCTCTGCTGGGATTAAAGATGTGCACTACCACAGCCTAGTATTATGCAAAGTTTTTAAGCTTTAATGAAGAATTCAAAAGAGGGATATTGATGGCTTGAATATAAGAAAAATTTCTCAACTGGAGAGATGGCTTAGTGGTTAAGAGTACTTGACTGCTCTTCCAGAGGTCCAGAGTTTAATTCCCGGCAACCACATGGTGGCTCACAACCATCTGTATTGGGATCAGACTTGTTCTTCTGGTGTATACACTAAGTACATGAATAAATAAATCTTAAAAGAAAGGAAATAAATTTTTTTGCATTTTATAAAGTTGTATCAGCAATTTTGAAAAAAATTAAGGAACTGGAAAGATGACTTAGCAGTTAAAAGCACTGACTATTCTACCAGAGTACTTAGGTTTAATTCCCTGCACCCACATGGCAGCTCACAGCTGTCTGTAATTCCAAGATCTGCCACCCTCACATACATGCATACACACACACAGACATACATGCAAGTAAAACACCAATGCATTAAATAAATTAAATTAGTTTTAAAAAAAGAAAAAATTAAGAGACAGTACAAAAGTCTCCATCAGAATGAGGCCACTGGTGTGGCAGCATTCAGTTAGTATTTATACATCGATAGAATCATAAATGGCCTTGAAGGCAAGATGATTTTCTAACTAAAAATGAAGTTGGTTTGGATTTCGGTTACAGTGTATGTATGGCATTTGTCTTACATCTGCCAGATTCTTCTGGTGCTACCCATTGTGAACAGATTCCTGTTTATATTTTAAACTTTCTGTGTTGTCATGAGATACTTGCTTGCTATTACAAGTTAATATTGCCTAGAGTGAGTATCAGTCAATCTTAGTTGTCTCAGAGAACTTCATTCTTGATGAGGTGAGAAAGTTTGTTTGTTTGTTTGTTTGTTTTGACAGGGTCTCGCTATGTAGCCCTGCCAGGCTGGTCCTAAACTCACAGAGATTCACTTGCTCCTGCTTCCAAAGTACTAAAGATTTAAAGGTGTGTGCCACCACACCTGGTATTGTTTACTCTTTAAGTATACAGATGCGGTTATTAAACTGTTAGCATTTGTGCTACAAAGTACAAAAAAGTGTAAATTTTCTACTTTTTTAGATTTTCAGAGATTCTTCCAATATAAGCAACAATACTGGGGCTGGAGATATGGCTCAGTATCTAAGAGCATTTGACTGTTCCTGCAGAGGACCTAAGTTCAGTTCCCAGCAACCACATGATGGCTCACATTGTCTGTGACTCCTGTTCAGGGGACTCAACACCCTCACACAGACATACATGCAGGCAAAACACCAATGCACGCACATACATACATACATACATACATACATACATACATACTAAAAGAGGGGACAGTATTGGAGGATGGAAATTTCTTTTTCCTTTTTCTTCTCCTTCCATCCTTCCGTTCTTTTTTCCCTTTTGGAGACAGGGTCTTCCTGTGTAGCCCTGGCTGGTGTACAACTGCCTGAAGACTAGGCTGGCTTTGAACTCACAGAGGTCTGTTTCTCAGTGCCTCACTGACACTGCTTCTGCTTCTTACTGCTTCTTACTTCAAACCTGGTGCCTTGAGCCTGCACTAGCTGTGTGCACGTCCTGCCATTGTGATATATTTCCAGCCCAACAGTATTGTTTTTCTCTCCGAAGATTTATTTTTTTGTGTGTATATGTATATTTATGTAAATATATGTAATATAGGAACAGGTACCCACAGAGGCCAGAAAAGGGTGTCAGACCCCGTGGAACTCATGAGTCCTTTGGAAAGGCAGAAAGTGTTCTCATCTTTCCAGCCCCTGTATTGCTTTTTAAAATATACTAGGCATTGTTTGAGGTTTTATAGTTTGTAACTCTGAGTAACTTAGCCTTGTGCTTGGTATTTAGTAATTGCTTGATACGGTGTGTGTTTTGCTTTGCTTTGCTTTAAATGGACATTCAGGTGATCTGTAACAGGAACTGTCTTCTAGTAAATGAAGTGCTCAGTTTCATGATCTCTGTTAATTCGTATCATTTCTGCTTATTTTGATAAATTATTTTTTATAAAAAGGATGGGTATGTGACTGTGTTTCATGGCATATGTCTCTGGTGATTTATGTACAGAGATAGATGTAGACATACAGATTGGGGTCAGAAACACATATTTCATCACTGCTATAAGCCCATGATGCAAGATCCTGGATTAAGTTTGGATTATTGGACAGCCACAGTTTGTATGATTCTCATAAGTGCTTGCGTAGACAGGGGACATAATCTAAGGATTGCAGGAAGCTTAAAAGCAGTTACATTATTGATTTGCTACAGGTCTAAGAGGATTTAAGATTTTGCTTGTTAAGACTGACCAAATATGAGATTTGCCATTGTGTCAAGTAAAAGAAAAACAGAAGCAATCCAGTCACCCAGTTTAGATAAAAGCCAGTTTTGCTTGTATCGGGACTGCAACATTTTCTGAAACTTGAGAGAAAACATTTGCCTAACACAGCTGTTAACTTCCTACAACTGACATGTTTTCCATTCCCTTTAAAGTAAGCCCTGCTGAAGCAGAATGTGTCACATGTATCATCCAGACTAGAACATTTGCTGGGACTGCCGCTGTCATTTGCTGGGGTCCGGAATCTTCACATTCCAGGCAGAATGCCAGCTGTTCCAATTTAGTTACCCCGTTGGCATTGGCTGTTCCCCTCCTCTTTGCTCCACCCTCAGCCTTCACTGGAAGAATGCCTGAGAGCTGGAGATTAAATGGAAGTGCTGTCACCAGACTTTCTGGGTGCAGCTGGCACCATGGCTGTCCCCAGGGCAGCTCATGTTTGCTCTGAGCCCCTGCCCTGCCTCCCCTTTCACCATGTTTCCTCTGGCAAGATTTTAAGTACAGCAATTCAAGAAGATTTCTCCTAAATCTCATTGATCTGAAGTGTGTTGCCTCTTGATTGCTGGAAAAGAATCTAAAATTTATTTCGAAGTAATCTTTAAACAAGTTTATTAAAAGTGATGAAAGGCTCATTGACATTTACTAGCACTGATTTTTCGCTGTGCCCAATTGTGCAGTGTCTTTCAGAGGAAACTAGCGATCTGGTGAATGTGCCATGCCAGTGGGGAGAATTGAATGTCCCTCATCTCCCTCTTTCCCTAGGGACATTAGTCATGAGTGCCGAGTGTGCGGGGTCACAGAAGTGGGTCTCTCTGCATATGCAAAGCACATTTCTGGCCAGTTGCACAAAGATAATGTTGATGCCCAGGAAAGAGAAGATGATGGAAAGGAAGAGGAAGAGGAAGAAGAAGATTATTTTGATAAGGAACTTGTTCAGTTAATAAAGGAAAGAAAAGAACAAAGTCGGTAAGTCATTTTGTTTGTTTGGGTTTTTTGTTTTGTTTTGTTTTTTTGAGATAGGATCTCATGTAGACAGTTTTTCTATTCTGGGGAGGAACTTCTAGGACTTTGTGTAGCTAAGAAAATTCCCCACTAACTGTGTTACCTTCCCAGGCTCATGATTTGAAATTTGAAAGTAAGCTTTTAAGAGGCCAAAACTTAATCTTACCTTAAATACAAAGTTTTGTTTGAGTTTGCTGTTTGGAGACTGAAGGACTATGAACTGCTACAGTATCTGTCCTTAAACTCAGTTTTGTCCTTAGCTGATTAATAGAGCTACAAACCTGAAAACTGTCATCTGAGTCGCTATGCGTGGAGCTATTTTATTAGAATCCAGTTTTCTGCTGGAAAGCTGTGGCGTGTAAGATAAGCATTGTTGAATTGACATTTCATCTATTATTCATTTGTATTATTTTTCTTTAAATATTTTTATGGCCTAAATAATATCTCTTAGGGGAAGGATTACCTGTTGTATTTTAGCACAGTGCTTCTGCCAGATTTGAATTTTACCTTTGAAATTTTAATGATTACACAGTGCCCAGTTCACTCTGGGTGTTTCTATAAATATTAGTATCATAAATTTGAGCACTATAAGTTCCCTAATTGTACTTCCCAAATTTATACCTTTGTTTATATATTTGTGTGTTAGGCATTTATAGTCTTACTGATTTTGTGGCCTTAAATTTTGTGTGTTTGTTTTTAAATGAGCAAGACAGTCAGGTAACCATGGCTAGTCTCCAGCTTGTTCGTAGCCAAAGATGATTCTGAACTTCTACCCACTTAGGTGCTATAATTACAGGCATGTGCTACCACACTGGACTTTGCCCTAAGGAACTCACTTAATGAGGCAGAGAACAATTAAAGTCTTAACATTTGATGAGAAAATTTCAAGCAAATTTTTAAAATATTTTTCTTGAATATTAAACCAACTCACCTTTTTATGTTAGAGATTTAAATATAGGTAGAAAATATGTAGCTTTATACTATATATTAATATTTTTTTAAAACGTCCTTGAAGATTTTCTTTGTCTTAAAATGCCCACAGCAGCCTTGAATTCTTAGTTCTTTTGATGCCATTCTTATAGCTACAGTACAACTGTAGTCTGGGCTTCCATTTTAGGAAGGGTAGAGCATTAATTCTTTTGGGGGAAGTGGGTTTGGTTTTTTTGAGACAATAGCCCTGGCTGTCCTGGAACTCAGTCTGGAGACCAGGCTAGCCTTGAACTCACAGGGTTTCTTTCACCTGCCTCTGCCTCCCAAGTGCTGAGATTAAAGATGTGCACCACCACTGCTGGGCTATAGGCTAACAGTTAACAACAAAACTATTATTAAAGCTTTGCTATTTAAATGATTAAACATCAGAGGCTAAGATTAGAAACTGATATCACAGCTACTGTTCTTTGAGTCTTGTATGCCCCTGCGGTGACATAGTTCTGTAAGATCACGCACTGCTTTTCTGTGTTGATTGACTGGAGCAGGGTCTCTTTGTGTAATCCAACTCACCTTCTTCGCCCTGACCTAAGTGCTAAGATTATAGGCTAGTATTGCCTTGCCAGCCTAGGTGAATTTCTTAACTTTATCTTGTTAAAAAAGGAGCTGATTTGTATCCAGCATACTACAGGCATTAAAGACCAGTCAAGATAGCCAGGCCATGGTGGTGCATGCTTTTTATTGCAGTGCTTGGGGCAGAGGCAGGCACATCTCTGAGTTCCAGGACAGCCAGGGCTACATAGAGAAACCCTTTCTCAAAAAAACGAAAGAGCTGTGAAGATGGTTCTATGGGGAGAGGAACTTGCAGTCGAGTCTGACAACCTGTATTCAATCCCCAAAACCCCCATGAAGGAAGGAAAGAACTGTCTCCCATATATTGTTCTCTGATCTACACACATGCTCAGTGCCGTGCCCCCACACACAATCAATGTTTTGGGTTTTTTGTTTTGTTTTGTTTTGTTTTGTTTTGTTTTTTTAAAGCCAGTTAAGGTCAGTTTTTAAAATGTAAGAATGTTTTTTGTTCATTGAAGCAGGCTCTTACTATGTAGCCTTAGTAGCCTGGAGTTACTACATAGACCAGGCTTACCTCAAACTCTCAGAGATCCATCTACTTCTGCATCCCAGTGCTTTGTTTAGAGGTGTGTATCACCATGCCCAGTCTAAGATTTTACTATTTTATGTGTTATAGGTGTATGTGTATGTAGGCACCTCTTGTGTGGCTGGTGCCCATGGAGGCCAGAAGAGAGTGTCAGATCCCCTGGCACTGGAGTTACAGATGTTGTTAGTGAACTGCCTTGCGGGTGCTGGGGATTGAACCCGAAAGAGCCAATTCTCTTAACTGCTGAGTCATCTCTCCAGCCCTCTGTCAAGTTTAGAGAAAGAAACTCACTACAAAAACTGTTGTGACATTTTTATTAGATCAAGGCCTAAGTGGTTAGTATAAAACCTCTTAGGTTCAAAGTCAGGATTCAGGGTTTGGTCTACCTTCTGTGTTTGTATGACTCAGCCTCTCTAAGTATGAGCCTCTCCATTTAAAAAGTAGTAAATATATGCCTCTGGATTATCAGAGTTCATTGAGGAAATCCAGATAAATACTTAGTGTTAATGAATTAATCTACATGAAGTACTTAGCAGAAACAAAGTGATTTTAGCTCACTTTATTCCCTGGTGTTTTGAGCACCTGCAGTGTGCTGGGATGTTAGACGCACCATGAGCAGTCTGTTGGTTTTACTCACTGCTGTGATGTTAAACGCCCTCCTTTTTTGTGGACTCCTTATCTAACATGAACAGCTCGATCAGCTGCAGGCTCCGTAAAGTGCCTCTAGCTCCTAAGTTCTTTGTAGCTCCTGTGGGAACTCTTATTTGACATGTGCTGTTTACTCCTGTTTGTGACCTAATTCACTGTTTCAGCTTGATTCTAAGCCTATTCCAAACAGAAAAACTGTTCTTATTTGGAAAAGAGCTGTACAATGTAAAAATGCTAAGATAATAGGAACAAAATTTTAGAACATTAACTACCCGCCACAGAAAACCCAGTAGAAGCCAGAGAGGGAGGACAGTATAAATGTATCCAATTTTTAATATTTCTAGGATGAAGGGAAGATAGTTTGTTAGTTACAGGTGTAAAAGCAACCACCAGAGTAAAAGTAGGCCCATTCTGTAACTGAAGAAGAGAGGAGGGGGAAAGTTTGGGGTGGGTTATGCCTTTTAAAAAAAGAATGTATAAGAATTTCATTAAATCTATAATGACAAACTGTTTTTCTTTCAGACAAGATGAGCCTTCCAGTAACAGCCAAGAAAGAAACTCAGATGACAGGCAACCCCAGTGGAGACGAGAAGACCGAGCCCCTTACCAAGACAGAGAGAGCTATGGCCAGCCAGCGAGGCATCACCGTGGACCTCCGCAGCGGGACCGGAAATGGGAAAAGGATGGCTTTAATAACACCAGGAAAGGCGGCTTTCCACATTTGAGGAATAGCGGTGGGCCAAGAGGAGGGTCTGGGTGGCATAAAGGTGCTGCAAAGAGCTCGTCAGCCTGGTTTCATAATCACAGCAACTCTGGAGGAGGTTGGCATTCAAACAATGGGATGGTGGATTGGAATTATAACGGTACAGGAAGGAATTCCAGTTGGCATTCTGAAGGCACAGGTGGCTTTTCCAGCTGGCACATGAACAACAGTAACGGAAACTGGAAATCCAGTGTGCGTGGTACAAATAGTTGGAATTACAATGGCCCTGGAGACAAATTTCAACAAGGCAGAAACAGAAATTCTAACTATCAAATGGGTGACATGACCAAGATGTGGAACAAAAAATCTAATAAGCCAAGTAAGTACAATCAAGAGAGACATAAATGGCAGAGGCAGGACGGCGACAAAGCTGGCAAATACAAGAGTCCTGCCGAGGGGTTTGCCAGTGACAAGCTTCCTTCGGAAGGCTTACTCGAGTTCAGTTTTGAGCAGCGGGAAAGTCAGACCACTAAACAGACAGACACAGCAGCCTCAAAAATTAATGGGAAGAATGGCAACACAGCAAGGGGAAAGTTCCGCCGCTGGGCACCTTATCCTTCCCATAAGACCTCAGATTTACAGTCGGCCCTGAGAGAAGCCATTGGCAACAAGTTAGAGGTGGTAGATAAACCTCTCTTTAATTATAGCTTAATAACTGCAGGAATGCAAGAACCCGTTGATAAAACAAGTAATCCCCTGATGCTGAAAACACAAAAGGAAGCGTGTCCTGGATCTCACAGTCACAAAGCCGATTCTGATGGCACTGCTTTCTCTGAGGCGGCGAGAGCTTGCCCTATTACTGAACAGTCTGAACCACATTGGAAGTCAAATAAGATTCCCTTGTTGAACTCTCCTCTCCTTTCACTTCCAGCTCCTAAACCAGGCCCTCATAAGCATAGTTTAAAGAACCTCACAAAAAACAATGAAACAAAATCTTTTTCTCCTGGAGATTGTTCATATCTCTTGAACAAATCCACTGTAGAAGGTAGCCATGGTTCTTCCTACTCATCCAAGTCACCTGACTTATGCCCTCGTGTTTTAAAGGGGAGTAAAACTGGGTCAGGCTCTGAAAAGGAACCTGACCAGAAGTTAAATAACACATCACAGAAAGCTCAAGAGGCACTCCAGTGTTCCAAAACACCGCGAAAGCCACTCCTTAGCACATCCAAAAGGCCTGAGAACTATGTACAAGAAAGTAGGAGTGTAGAAGAGTCAGCAGAAGATTCTGTAAACGTTGAGTGTCTGGCGCACTCTGCTGAAATTGATGGTGCGACATCTGATCCAGAGCAACACAGCATAAAAAGTGGAGCAGTGGATCTGGCAGCTACAGAGGCCGCATCCTGTAGCCCTCACACTACGGGTGAGGAGCAAGGGAGCCAGGTCCTGGGCACATCTGGGAACCCTTCCACCTCCCCACACGATCCCACAGTTCACCAGAAAGAGGCCGAGTTAGAGGTGGTGGCAGCAGCCGGTTCACACTCCAGCTTACTGCTAGACGTGAGGACCTCTCTAGAAGATGCACAGGATAACAACCTTGTTAAATCTGATGGACTTTTTGAAACAGAGAGCTTTGAGGGCCCTAGCTTGGATGCAGAGCTTCAAAAAAGTGATATCAATAACCAGCCCCCTGGCACACTCATGCCAGAACTAAGTAAACTTGGTTTTCCTGCCTCACTCCAGAGAGATCTAACCCGACACATTAGTTTGAAGAGCAAAACTGGAACACATCTTCCAGAGCCAAACCTCAATAGTGCTCGACGGATTCGGAATATTAGCAGCCACCGAAAGAATGAAGCAGAGAAGGAGTCTGGGCTTAAGCCAACCCTACGACAGATTCTAAATGCCTCAAGGAGAAATGTCAACTGGGAGCAGGTCATTCAACAAGTAACCAAGAAAAAGCAAGAGCTGGGCAAAGGTTTACCAAGGTGTGTGCCTCCTTCAATATCTGTCCTTGCTTTCTTTTGAAGGGTACCACCCTTTGACCTTGATTAAAAGAGAGTTTCTGCTCTACTTAATTAAATGTATGTCAAAAATATCAATTGTAGATGTCTGCTTTAATTCAGTATCAAACCATGACTGCCCCTATCTTACATGTGACAGTCTTTCCTGACAGTGCAGTAAAGATGGGGCACACCTGAGAAACTCACTGTGGACCTAGGAAAACGCCATCAGAAATCTGTCACTTTGGTTTAAATGGACTAGAGCGTGATATCTCCCTCTGAACCTTAATGTTTAGAACCAATGGTAAAATTTTCCCTGTAACTGCTTTTGCTGCCTGTCAACTCAGCTCATGGCTACCTCGCTCCGTGTCCTCTGGAGATTGCAGTGAGGATCAGAGTGCTTTCTCCTAAGCTCTCATCACATTTTGAGGTGCTGTTCTGAATGGTCAAGGAATGTTCAACATACATTTTCTTACTTGAAAAACCATAATTTTGCGGCAATATAAGTGTGACCCTCCAGGCTCAGGGTCTTTACTGTTCTTGTTGATTTCTTTATTTTTCTTTCTTAGGCCTTTGAATAGTGCATGGTGTGGTAAAGTATAGAGAGGCATACTTAGTGGTTGTGAATGCTTGGTAAACTGGTTTCTTTGTTTTTAAAATGTTTATCATGAAAAAAGAGCTCTATTTGAGGGGAGAGGGGCAACCCAGTTGTTACTAACTTGTGTGCACTCTGTAACTGTGTACCATTCCGTTTTAGTGCCTGTGACATTGCAGTGTGTGTTTCCTCTCTGAATCCCTTGCAGGAACTGACCTCTGTAACCTTTGTGTGATGGAACCTACCACATTAAATGGTGCTCCTGTACTCCTCCCCCAGCCACATCTGATTTGTTCCTTTTTTTTTTTTTTTTTTTTTTTTTCCTTTTTAAAGGTTTGGCATAGAAATGGTACCTTTGGTTCAAAATGAACAGGAAGTCTTGGACTTAGATGAGGGGGAGCCTGATCTGCCCATACTTGAAGGATTCCAGTGGGAAGGTGTTTCCATTTCTGCATCCTCCGGCTTGGCAAGAAAACGAAGCCTTTCTGAAAGCAGCGTGATCGTGGACAGGGCTCCTGGATATAGCTTCTTTAGTGAGGAAGGTATCGGCAAAGAAAATGAACCCCAGCGGATTGCTTCACCTAGTAACACATTGAGTGCTGCACCGAGTCAAAGGGCAACCCTGTATCTTGATCAGGAAGTAGCACCTCTGACTCCCTCTGTCAGAGCAGGTGAAAGGGTTGGAAACATTCCTACCCAAAGGCGACATAGTGCACAGCTACCATCTGATCCCATAATGCCTTTCGTGCATTCGGCCAGAGAGCTGCACAGCCAGGAGAGGTCTACACCATCGTTGGAGCACCATGCCCAGGAGAGCGGTGGAGAGGGAAACTCACTGTCATCAAATGCATCTTCAGTTCATGCGATCTCCAGCCTAGCAGATGCAGCCACTGACAGTAGCTGTACCTCTGGGGCTGAGCAAAACGATGGGCACAGTGTTAGAAAGAAGCGAAGAGCCAATGGGGTGAGTATGAGTCCCTGTACTTTTGTGAAGTGTCTTGTGTGAAGACCTTGAGTATTGATAAGAAAGGCTCAACTGATTTTTATTGGGTTATCTGGGTGTAGTTTTCCTTTGCTCTGAAGTAGAATATTAGACTCTTAATATTCATCCTTCTGGCTCCTCTCACCTGAGTAGCTCCACTAAGCTAGATGTCATGTGATACAAATGTGATAAAAAATGTGAACAGTACCAGGAAAATCTGACGTCATCTCTAAAGCAGTGGTTCACCTACCTAAGGAGAGGTAGGCGTAACTCACTCTGCTTTCATAGATGCATGTGCGAATATGGGACTCATGGTTAAACTGGAAGGCTTACTGCTGAAGAGATTGGATAGTGGTAGAGTGTGTATACATAGACATTGTGTAATGTCTGCTGAGTCTTTGTAATTGTCTTTTGTCAATAGAACCCCACCTGATCATGTAAGACACTTTGCCTTCATTTAACCAACTTGTACTCTGGCTCCCTGATGGTGGTGGTGGTGATATCCCTGTTCCAAGGTCCCTCTCTGGAAAAACAAAACAGCACAAAACAAAAAGCTACTGGTGGTCATACTGTCTAATCTGGCACCACCCCCCTTTGGAACTGAAGTAATTAACAGATTTAGACCTATTCAAGCCCTGAGTCTACTTCTCTAAGCCAGAGAAGATACTGTTAGTGATTTTAAATATTCTTAAAGCTTGAGATGTACCGTTTTGAAAAGCCATTATCTTGAGGCTTGCCTATTAGGTGGTTTAGCTTCTTGTTGGAAGCTATGGAAATTTAGAGCGGAATCTATGCCGTGACGAAATCAATTAAAATGTCCTTGGCTCTGCCTGTCTGTCATTTTACCTACATGGAAGGCTGAGCACATGGGCTGTACTAATCTGTACCAGAAAGCACTTGACCTTGGGCTTTGTATTAGAAACCTTAAGTCAACTAATGGTTGAGTTGTGCATAAGGCCTATGTTGTTCTCTCAGAGATGATAGCAGTAGCAAAAGGTAGCATATGACTATCTTAAAACTCATTCTTTTTGTCCCTCTCTTGCAGAATTTCCTTTATTTATATATTCAATATTCAATTTTCTTCCTCTTCAGGATGGATCTTCCCCTGAACTACCAAGTCTTGAGAGAAAAAATAAAAGAAGGAAAATTAAAGGAAAGAAAGGTATGGCTATAGAATTCTATAACAGAACATGATTGTTTTAATTACTTTGTTTTTGTTTGGTTGGAGTCTTTTTGTTTTTTTTAGGCTGGGTTTCTCTGTGTTAACAACTCTGGCTGTCCTGCAACTCACAGAGATCCACTTGCCTCTGCCTAGTGCTGGGGTTAAAGGTGTGTGCCACCACTGCCTGGCCTATTATTTTTATTTTTGCAATGCTAGGGGTTGAACCCAGGGCTTCATGCCTGCTAGGCAGGTGCTCTACCTGTATCTCTGACCACAAGAAGTTGCTGATAGCACTTTAGCTTTTTTATAATTTGACACGACGGTTTCCAGTCATCAGACACTGAACATCTGCTTCATAGTACTTATTGTTTGTTTTGAGGTGGTATTGCTATATAGTCAAGACTGGCCTTTGAGATAGGTATTGTTATGTAGTCAAGACTGGCTTTAGACTTACAGAGATCCTCTTGTCTCAGCCTTCCATGTGCTAGAATTACAAGCTTAGAGCCTCATACCACAAGGCTTGCTGGGTGTGGGTGGGTGTGGGTGGGTGTGGGTGTGTATTTATTGAGAAAGGAACTGAATTGTGACTCAGTGGTAAAGTACTTACTTGCCTAGAAGGTGAGGCCCCTGGTTCAATCCTCAGCACTGGGTTTCACCTGTCTGTAGATCCAGGATGGCCTGGGCTACAATCCTGCTTTAGCCTCTGGAAAGCTAGATTGCAAACTTGTGCCACCATACCTGACTCTGCATGGTTTTTCTTACGTTGTGGTATTGTTTAAAAGCAGAGAAAAGAGCATGGTAGTGGTGGCACACGCCTTTAATCCTAGCACTTGGGAGGCAAAGGCAGGCAGATCTCTGTGAGTTCAAGGCAAGCCTGGTCTATAAGAGCTAGTTCCAGGACAGGCTCCCTGTCTCGAAAAACCAAAAGAAAAAGAAAGTGAAGAAAAGTATGATTTTTTGCAACATTAGTTGCTGCTGAAGAAATGCATGATGCCATATAGACCTGAAAACTAAGTTATATCCTAAGTATATATGTATAGGCAGGAAATTTCACTGAAATTTTCCAATTAGAATGAGAAGGAACAGGTAATTTAATTAAAATGGTGTCCCTCTCACTTGTTTTTCTGTTGTCCTGTGGCTCAGACTAGCCTTGAACTCAGGGTAGCTCTACCTCCAAGTCCCAAGTGCTGGGATTGCAGCTGGGAGCCAGCCAGCTCACCTGGTCTTCACCTTTATATTTTTGAGGTCATGTGTTTGTTTTTCTGGTGTGAATTAAGGAGTTTGTAGCAGAAAGAACGGGCTCTGATTTGGGTCCGTTTAGGTTTCTATTCAACATCCTCGTTGGGAAAGCTTTAGTAAAGGGAACTGTGACCCAGTCACGGATCAAAAAGTGCTCCTCAGCACACTGGGGAGGTAGAGGCAGAAGGGTCAGTAAGTAGCTCAAGGTTATCAAATGCCCAGAAAGTTCAAGGCCAGACTCTGCTATGTAATGAGACCCCAACAATAGCAACAACAAAAACAATAAATAGACCAATTGTGGTGATTGATGTCCTTAATCCCAGCTCTCCACAGAGACAGAGGCAAGTGGGTCTGAAAGTTCCCAGGTCAGCTGGAACCATATAGTCCCTGTCTCAAAAAACAAGCAAGAGTCTGGCTAAAGGGAACCTGTTTGAATCTGAGAAACAGATGAGAACATGATTTCAAAGGCACGTTCTGTAGTCTGAGGCTCAGTCTTGCCCAAAGCCCTTAAGTGAGGAGCTCAGCAGACAGCAGAAGAAAGGGAAACACGACCAGAGCCTTCCGTTCTAGACTGAGATCTCAAACACAGTAAGCGGGGGTGGGAAACCGAAAGACTCCACTGGTTCTTGTTTTATAAGATCCATGAGTCTTGTTTACCTGTCGGGAAATGATGTGTCCCTGCTACCTTTGAAGGAACTATTATTAAACCGGCCCTTTTGTTTTGTTTTGACAGAACGTTCTCAGGTTGACCAGCTACTGAATATCTCCTTAAGAGAGGAAGAACTGAGCAAGTCGCTGCAGTGCATGGACAACAGCCTCCTGCAGGCGCGGGCTGCTCTGCAGACAGCTTACGTCGAAGTTCAGAGGCTGCTCGTGCTCAAGCAGCAGGTAACAGGGGAGGATCCTAGGAACGCTGGCAAGCTTGGTGTTGGAGTCGAGAATGCTTAGCAAAGTATTTTACTTTCAGATAACTATGGAGATGAGCTCACTGAGGACTCACAGAATACAGATTCTACAAGGATTACAAGGTATTGTGACCTTTTGTTCCCTGTCGGGTAAAGCGAAGAAGCCATGGGAGTGTCACACAGTTTGCTGCGTCTCCAGGGTTTCACCCAGAGGCCTGTGCTTCTCAGAAATGTTTTAACAACTGGACTGCGTGGCCAGGCCTGTGGTCTCTGCTGCTCAGGAAGATTAAGAGATCAAGATTTATCTGGGTTAGAGAGTGAATTCAAGACCCGCCTACATCTCAGAACAAGAGAGTAAAAAGAATTGGTGATATAGCTTAGTTATTGAGTGCTTGCTTGGTATTGACAAGGCCCTAGGTTCAGTTAATAGTGTGGGACTGCAGTAATGGAAGGAGGAAAAGGAGCAGTGGAGACTTTTGGTTAGGAATCAGAAGCACTGAATTCAAATCTTGGCTTCCATTAGTAACTGTATGACTTGGATAAGCTATTTAATATTTGATTTTTTTTTTCTCTGCCCTTGTTGATTGTTTAGGTTGTACATCTTGTTTGGACAAGTTAAAAGGGAGGATGTTATCACATTATTAATTTAATTTCTTATTTGTTTCAAATTTGTTATTGTTTGGTTTTATTTAATGCAGGGTCTTTCAATGTAGCCCTGGCAGTCCAGGGAATTTGCTCTGTAAACCACACTGTCCTGGAACTCACAGAGATCTGCCTCCTGTGTGCTGGGATTAAAGGCATGAGCCACCATGTCTGACGAATTTTTGTTTATGAGACAGGATCTCATGTAGCTCATGCTCCCTTAAACTTAGTAGGTAGCTAATGATGCTGCTAAACTCTTCATTCCTAGTCTCCGTCTTCCAAGTGCTGTGATTGCAGGCACATCATACCATGCCCAACTTAAAATTATTTCCTAACCTTTAATATACATATTGGATGCCAGGTATGCCAACATATGCCTTTAATCCCAGCCTTGGGACCCTGAGACAAGTGAATCTCTGTGAGTTAAAGACCAGTTTGGTCTATATAATGAGTTCCAGAACAGCCAGCATTACAAAGTGTGACCTTGTTTCTAACAAAACAAAGCAAATAAAAACTGACTTTCCAAGTGACATTCTTGCATTTGTATATGTTGTATATGTTTCCTGTTGTAGAAACGTATGAACCCTCTGAGCACGCAGGCCAGGCTCCCTACAGCTTCACAGCAGGAGAACAAAGGAACAGTCGATCTCAAACCTCAGTTGAGACCCCACTGCTGCCCACTCCCTTTTTCCCAGGGTTTCTGGAGCCGTCTCCTTCCCATGTGTCTCTACCATCCACTGGAACCCCTCTCCAAATAACCACATCTACTTTCCAAGTCCATGGAACTGTCCTTGACTCATCAATTCAGATTAAACAAGAGCCCATGTCTCCTGAACAAGAGGGGAGTATGAATGCTGTGCCCCAAGGCTCTGCTTCCGGTGTGTCCAAGGAATTACTGCAAGCTAATAGTGAGTAAGCCTTTCTGTAGTTCAGGGCGATCCGGAAGACAACTATACTGCACTGTATAAAGCCTGCTAGAACAGAGTCAGTCACACACAGATGGATCTCTGAGTTAGAGAGCAGCCTAATCTACAGAGTATGTTCTAGGTCTCAAAAATAAAGTAGTTATTATAGTTAGTTTTTTTAATTGACAGATAATTTATATAGGAGGGTCATTTTCAAATACTTCAGAGAATGTGGTCAGGGAGATAACTCAGTGAGTAAAGGTGCTTGTCCCCAAGCCCAATGACCTGGGCTTAATCCCTAGAATCCACCTGGAGGGAGAGAACCTGGACCCCCACATGCTCAGCTGTTCTAAACACACAGATAGAAAATATATGTAAATTCTTAAGAAACTAATAAAATATTTCAGAGAATGTAAAATAAGTTTTATTGTTCCCTTATTTTCTCAGAGCTTAATGAATTGACATCACATTGAGATTTCCAAAAGGTTTCATTTGTGTTTGGTACTCGGGTTAAGATTGGTCACCCTGTTTATGTGCTAAGGTGTGTACTCTGAATTTCTGAGCACTTAACTGTCTTTATTACCTCAGATGTAAGCCAGGATTGATTAAAAACCTGAGAGGCGAGTGGTTGTGTTGGCCATAGGGTTCTGGTGTTCACAGGAACTTATGTGGGTTGAGAAGGAGCCAGAACTTAACACTTGCCGGGTTAACATTTGAGCATAACTTCTTAGCTGTTTTCATTACTTCAAATCTTGTCATATTAAAAACTCAGTCAAAGAACAGGACAGTCCAAATGAAACGGCTCAGCAGACATAAGCTAGCCAAAGCAAGCCTGCCAACTCAAGTCTGATCCCTGGAACCCATGTAAAAAGCTGCGTGCGGTGGCACAAATCTAACTAATCCCAGCACTCCTTGGTGTGGGAGGTCAAGACGTGAATGACTTGGAAGCTTGCAGGCCAGCTAGCCTCGAGTATGAAGCACAGCAGCAGAAAACAAGCCAGCCTGCCTCAGTACGGTAGAAAGCAAGAACTGACACTCAATATTGTCCTCTGACCTACACGCTTGTGCCATGGTATGTACACACACATACGCTCACCCTGCCAAAAGTCAAAGAGGCATTGTGTGATTCTTTAAGCTAAAACCTCAGCTCTGCTTCTGGTGCCCTGTTGCAGTATTTATGTAAGATGCTCGTATCGAATGTCTGTGATCTGTCATACTGAATTTTAAGTTACTTTTATGGGATTAGTATTTAGGTTTTTAAAACTATAACGCATTAGGGTTGGTGAGGTGACTCAAGCCTGAAAACCTGGGTTAATCCCCAGGCCCGAAACTGTAAACAGAGAGAATTGACTTCTGCAGATTGTCCTGACCTTCATGCATGCCCACATACACACATAAAATTAGCAAAAAGAATTACAATTTATGCAATAAATTTTACTGACTTTTGAATAGATTATCTAATAAAAATTAACTGGATATATTTTGTTACGTATTTCCTATCTTTTTTAAGGGTTAGACTGCTGGAGATTGCATTTTAGGCAAACTCAGTACTACCACAGAACTACAAACATCCTGAGCTGTATTTCAGTCTGTCTTAAACCATAAGTGTCTGTTTGTTTACATGCTGACATATATAATGGAGAAATCATAGTTTACCATAATCTGACCTTAGTCTGTGGGAGCTAAGAAGTAGGTTCTGTGGATGAAATCATTTACTCTTATAAACACTGAGGATCCACGTTGTAATCCCGCACGCTACCGTAAAGTGGTACTCTGAGATAGAATCACAAAGTCCATGCATCGACCAGCCTCAAGTACACAGTGCATTGGCAGAAGCAGTAAGAGTTTCTCTGCCTCCATGCAAGGTAGAAAGTAAGAATGACTCCCAAAAGCTGTCCTCTGACCTCCACACAAGTTCCTGGGCTTGTGTGCACTGGAACTTATTCCTACACACAAAGCAAAGCTAAGCCTGTGTGCCATTAAATATGTGAACATGCAGAGTAGAAGAAAAATCAGTAGGCACAGTCCCTGACTGCAGAAGCTGATTTTTCTGTTTGATTTCCTGATTCAGGAGTGGTCAGTGACAGCTGCCCAGTTTACCCAGCCATCCCTGCAGCATTAACTTCAGAGTCAACAGAAAGCTGCCTGGAGGCTAGCCAAAAGAATTCTTCTGTGGAGCAAGTGAATTCCAGAAGCAGAGAAAACTCCCTCTCCTCCCAGTCTCCTGAGCGTCCTGGAATAAACAAAGGTGCAGAGTCGGCCAAAGGCAGCAGTGGATCTGAATCCTGTAGCAGTTCTTTTCTGAGGTTGTCTTTCACTCCCAAAACCCCTGTGGAGAAGGAGACTCAGTCTGCTGCTGAGCAGCAGGCTGAATCCACACTGGCATCAGCAGAAACTAGAGGGAACAAGAAGAAGAAGAAACTCCGGAAGAAGAAGACGCTAAGGGCCATCCATGTTCCCGAGAACAGCGACACTGAACAGGATGTGTTCATTGCTAAGCCTGCAAGAAAGACAAAGGCTGGAAAGGCAGCTAAAGGAGGGACAGTAACGACCTCCACCTGGGAAGACAGCAGAACTGGACGGGAGCAAGAACCTCTCAGAGCCGAGCTGGACAGCGAGTCCTCCCTGGAAGTCTTGGAAGTCCCTAATCCTCAGTTAGAGGTAGTTGCCATCGATTCTTCTGAATCTGGAGAAGAGAAACCAGACAGCCCATCAAAAAAAGACAGCTGGAGCTCTGCAGAGCAAAACCCAGTAGAAGCTTCTCGTGGTTGTGATGAAGTTAGCTCTACCAGTGAGCTTGGCACCCGCAACAAGGATGACGTTCGTGTCAGGTAAGGGTGCTTCTCTCTGTGTTAATCCCACCAATTGAGACTAAGACCACTACCACAGTTTAAAGCCAAATTTGAAGCTTTAATTAAATACTGGCCAGATGGATAGACTCTGGCTAAGTTCATACCCAGGTTCCTGAGGAAATGGCCCAGAATCAAGTATGGCAAGGGCTAAGGAAAACCCATAAGTCATTGCATTTTCCATCAGATCCAATCAGGAGCAATCATACATCCACATGTAATCAAGCATATCCAGTGTGCACGGCTCAAGAGGGGAATGAAATTGTTTTAGGGGAATGAAAAACACGTGGCTTGTTATCGCCCATAAACAATGGCCTCCAGCATTTCTGGAACTATCTGTCCTTGGGCAAGGGGCTCACAGATTAGAGGCATTTTTGTTTCTCTAGGGCATAGTAATTAAAACTTAAAATCTACCTTTGGCTCTCACAGCTGCTCTCTCAGTTACTCTTTGTTTTTCTTTTTAAAGACAGGGTTTCTCTGTGTAACCCTAGTTATTCTAGAACTTGCTCTGTAGACCAGGCTGGCCTTAAACTCAGATCCGCCTGCCTCTGCCTCCCAGGTGCTGGAATTAAAGGCGTGTGCCACCACAGCCCAGCTTCATTTTCTCTTCTAAGTAGAATTTTAGAATTTATAAATCAAAAATATATGAAAAAAGTTCTGAACAGGGAAAAATCAAATCTTGGGGGTTGGAATTTTTTGGGTTTTTTTGTTTTCTCTTTTGGTGTTGTAAATTTCAAAGAAATTTCAGGTGGAAAAATTGAGTTAGAAAGTTTTTAGTTTTACCATCTGTCTGGTCTCCAGATGCCAAGAAATTGTTGCTTTTATTTTTTCAGTGTGGCAGAAACTCAGACAGTGATCTCCTCCATAAAAGCACTCAAGAACTCTTCAGGTAATTGTTCTGTTTGTTTAAAAGTAGGTACAGGGAAAGAGTTTAGAAGTCTAGTCAGTTTAAACCTAGTTTACAGAGCAGGAGATAAAGTGAGAGGTTACAGCACCAGGTCTGTGGTCCTGGACTTTGCGAGCTGCACACTCACATCTGTCTTACTGGTTCCCTTTTCTGACCTCATTGGTTTTAAAGTTGTCCTTGTTTTTTGGTGGAGTCTTCCCAATGAAGAACTTTGAAAATTGTGACGTTCTGCTTGGGGAGCTAGGACTTAGGAGAATCTTTCAGTGATTTCATTCAAATCCTCTAGATGGTTGTGATGGCTTTGACTTAGTATCTTTTCAGACTGTAGCAGATATGTGTCTGAAATCTGTTTCTGATTTCTAGAAATATCTTCAGAGCCAGCAGATGATGATGAGCCCACAGAAGGGAGCTTTGAAGGACACCAAGCTGCAGTGAATGCGATTCAGATATTTGGAAATTTGCTGTACACCTGCTCGGCAGACACAAGTGTCCGAGTCTATAATTTGGTGGTAAGAATGATGTTTTGAGAACCTCTGGTTGCAGTCTTTAGAGCTCACTCGTGTTGTTCTAGCATCAATGAAGGGAACAAATGTACTAACTTCCCAGGGGGTGTAGGCTGTCCTAGAGGCAGTGGATCATGCAGTCCACAGGGACAACTCTGCCTTCTCTAGTCACATTTCCTAAAATACCTAAGAGGTGCCTACCTCTCTGGTATCTTCCTCTCTCCATTAGAAAAAACTCTCCTGTGCTTTATTTTCTGAACCAGCATCCATGGCAAAGGGAATAGGATCACACCAGTAGGTGAGGGCCAGTCATTCCCCAGGCTTGACATTAGTTATGGGGTCAGTTACATGATGGGGTCAGATGATACACAGTAGAGGAAGAATGAAATGAGTATTGCAACATATTTGAGGAAGAATTTTTTTTCTGGTGATTAATTATAGAGGCCAAGTTCTTCCAGAAAGTAATACCTTTCCATGTCCCTCAGTATAATGAACACTTTTAGATTTGAAATTCTCCCACAGTTAACTTTGTCCTCTGCAATGATAACCAAGACACTTTAGGAACATTTGCTCGTTTTCTGAGCCAACACCATGAAGGTGATGAACCAATACGTGTTTACTGTGGGCAAGAGGTATGTAATCTAGGGACGTGAGAAGTATCAGAAGTGACCCCAGGAAGAAAGCAGTATGAGTATGTACTCTACAAAAGCAGAGCTGGGTGTGGCAGCATATGCCTGTAATCCCATCACTTGAAAAATAGAGACAGGAGGATCAGGAGTTTAAAGCTAGCCTCTGGTACAAAGGCTTGAAGTGTTTTAAGAGTCTTCTAAAAGAAAGGGTTTGTTTGGGCATCCAGTTCCAGAAGGCTGTATTCCTAGTGACAGGAACAGGGTGGCAGCCAGCACGGTGTCAGGATGAGGAAATTTTTATCTTAAACCTCAGGCATGGAGCAGAGAGAGTGAACTGGAAATGCCTGCCCCCTTTGACATAGCTTGTCCAAGCAAGGCTGTACCACCTAAACCTCCCCCAGACAGCACCACCAGATACCCAAGACTGGTGAACATTTCTGACACAAACCACCATACCTTCTAAATCTGACCTGTGCTTGATTTTCAGAGTCGCAAGTGTATTGGTGTCTTTGAGGGCCACATTTCCAAAGTGAACTGCCTGCTTGTTACTCACACCTCTGGGAAGAATTCTGTCCTGTACACTGGTTCCAGTGACCACACCATTCGCTGCTATAATGTCAAGGTAGGCGGCTCTAGAGAAGTCAGAGTGGTAATATTGAACCTTTAACTACATTTTCTGTCATTCTTCTCCTTTGACTTTCTCATTTTGTTTCTGAGCGTATTTTAGCATGCTGATACCATCTTAGGTAGATAGAACATTCAGCATAAACCACATTTTCTGTTAGTTCATCAGTATCTATTAATTTTATTAACAGTATAGTTTCCTTGGTCTTTCTCATAAATATTCTCTTATATCATGTGTCAGAATTAATCTTAGTTGCAATATTTTAATTATACTTATTTACTTTGTATGTGTGTCATATGTGTGGAAGCCAGAGAATGACTTAACTGAGTTTTTTTCTGTGCATCTTGTGGTCCAAGGGATCAGACTTAGGTTTGATGAAGCTTGACTACGGGAACCTTTATCTGCTCAGCCATTTCACTGGTCCCTGTTAATTTAATTTCTTTAAAAGTTAAATTCTATGGAGTCTAGAGAAATAAGTCAATAATGTGCTAGCCTTGAAGAAGACCTGAATTCTATCCCCAGAACTAACTTTAAAAAGCTGAGCGGGGCTGGAGAAATGGCTCAGCGGTTAAGAGCACTAACTCTTCTTCCAGAGACTCACAACCATCTATAATGAGATCTGGTGCCCTCTTCAGGGGTGCAGGTACACATGCAGGCAGAGTATTGTATTCATAAGAGATAGATAGATAGATAGATAGATAGATAGATAGATAGATAGATAGA